AAAAAAAAAAAAAAAAAACATAAAAAGTAATTTTGTATCGATTTTAAGTTCAACTTTTTGTAAGTTGAAAATTTAAAATAAATCTCACTACATTTTTAAGTTGAATGATAAATTAATTATATGGTTGAAATATTGAGAAACTTGAGTTTATCTGTAACTCAAAATTGAGTTTAATTAAGATAAACATTGTGTACGATTCGCAATTATTTTATCATTTATGAGTGTTTTGATGAGGTGAACGAGTCATAATCAAACACTATGAGCGTTAGGACTCTATAAGGTTCTCTAGAGACTAGTAGGAAAAGACGGAGCACAATTTCGAATTCGGACGTTGGGCGCATAGGAGCTCCTCACACGCAGGTGTGCGACATGCCCCGTCGCGAGTGCAATGCCTGATTTTGCCCTCCAGTTGGGCGCGACGAGCACACGACCGGAAAACACCTAATCGAGTAAAAAATGTTCCTAACCCAGTTTTGGACGGCTAGACAAGAAATGTGCCTTTTCATGCTTTGAACCATCTATAGATGTATAACAATATCTATAAACTCTCATGAAGTAAATTTGTTCGATATATCACATTTTAAAAGCTCGTTGCATCTTTTTACAAAGTTTATATATGTATCTTGTGTTCTTTGTGTTTTTTTTTTCTATCTTAAAAGTTATGAAACATGAGTATTGTTCGTTAAAGGTTTGTATGTTTGTGTTACATTTACACACAAATCAAAAGTTGTAGTACTTTGAAGATGTTAGCCTTAAAACATGAGTAATATATGAGGCTATTTCGTCTTAAGAATAGTGTGTCGTACGTGCCTTGACAGTTGTCCTTCTGATTTCTTAAATTATTTTCCTGAGAGTTCACAAACACAAAACACTATCTACAACTTAAAAAGTTTATATATTTATCCATATTCATTATACACACTATTTGTTTGGGTTCTTTTTTAAGTTAAAAAATAAAAAATACTAGTACAATGCCCGTGTATTACACGGGTGTTTGTTAAAGTTTTTCCTTAAAATTTAAAATTGATAAGAAATAGTAGTTGAAAATTCAATTTTTTTTATAAAAAAATATATATTATATATAGTATGACACTTATTACTTGTGCGACTTACCTACGTTATATTATAATAATTTTTCTAACTTATAACATATAATTACATTAAACGTAAATATATTAATTGAGAAATAATTTATTTTTTAATTAATCTTAATAAATAATTTTGCTATTATTATAAAGATAAATATAATTTATTTATTTTTATATACACAATATAGATGTCAAATCGAAGTTAATCAAAAGATGATCAATTTGATATACAAGTACAGAGCCCGTGCGATGCACGAGGTGTATAATTTTAAGGTCATTTATCCATTCTTATAATTATATAAATGAATAAAAAAATGTACGAGATATATATAGTACGTGACTTGTAATAAGTTAAAATGTGAACACGGGTGATGCACGGGGTGCACAATTTTAAGGTCATTTATTAGTACAGAGCCCATGCGATGCACGGAGTGCACAATTTTCTAGTATGTGTAATAAAAATACATACCGTATGCACGGGACAGAAACACTAAATGAGTCATTTTCACATAGCTTGCCCATTAAGTAGCTCCTGAACACGGGTGCACAATTTGTAGTACGTACCATAAAATCAGAACAGATTTTCATACAATTAGATAATAAATTAGATAATAAATAAAGCATTTTTATTTTAGTAAAGATTGTACGTACTTTTTTTTTTTTACTTATCGGATGTTATGGGATTTTTTTTGTTAAATATAATCCAAATACAATTAGAAGATTGAACAAAATCAGAACAGATTTTCATACAATTAGATAATAAAAAGGAATTAGATAAGGAAAAGAAGGAATTAAATAAGAAAAAAAGAAGGAGTTAGATAAGGAATTTTGAATCTGACTTTTATTTGGATAGATAGACTTTACGTACAAATTTTGACTTCACTGATTTTATGGGATTTATTTTGACAAAATCGATGTTAATATAGAATAAGACAAATAAATAAAGTCTTTTTATTTAGTAAATGTAACAGCCCAGTCAACCCGTAGTAAGATATTGTCCGCTTTGGGTATACACCAGATAATTCCCTCACGGTTTTGCCTTTGGGAGCTAGCTCACCAAAACGCGTCCTCGCTGGCACATCGATCCGAGTACTGGGTCTGATACCACTGTAACAACCCAGTCAACCCGTGGTAGGATATTGTCCGCTTTGGGTATACACCAGATCATTCCCTCTCTCCCAAAGGCAAAACCGTGAGAAAATGATCTGGTGTATACCCAAAGCAGACAATATCCTACCACGGGTTGTCTGGGCTGTTACAGTGAAGATTTTACGTCTTTTTTTTTACTTGTCACATGTTATGAGATTTTTTTTCTTAAACTGATTTTATGGGATATAAGACAAATAAATAAAATAATTAAATAAAATTCTGGATAGAAATAGCAATTCATTAATTACGTTGCCTTTTCAATCTACTAAATTTGGTAAATAGGATACCTTATTTAATAAGTATAGATACAAATAAATAACATGCCAAAATTTTAAAGAATAATTAATGTATTTTAATTTATTATCTAGCCATCAACAATATCATTTAATGATGTGATCATTATCTTTTAAATGATAAATAGAATATTAATTTAAAAAAATATTTGTTTTTTATATATTCAAATAAAAATTAAAAAATACTATCGACAAATATGAATTATAATATATATCAATAAAATCATTGCAGAAGTTAATAAAATTATTTAAGGAAAGAATATTTTTGATCCTATTTGAATAGGAAATGTATATATGCAAGCAATTAATGCATATAGTAAAAAATTTCTAAATAAAGTATGCATTAAATGTGAGTTGACTTTTTTATACTATTTTTAGTAAATAGTATGGCTTTTAATAAAAGTATAGATTATATTTGTAAACTCGATAAGAATATAAAAGTTATCAACTTTTAAAATAGATTTACAATTCAATGGTTATAATAGAATATGATATTAAAATACAATTAATACATCTAAAGTGTTCATAAATAAATCAACATATTTATGATAATCCAGACCTCAATAGTTTAATTAGATTAAATTAAAATATATCAAAGTCAAATAATGAAGTATGAAATTTTGACATCTAAGATTTCGAAAGATGAGAGCTTGACACTTAGGCTCATCACATTCGGAAATTATATATAAAGGAGGTGATATAGGGGATGTTGTGTTTGATCAATCATGCTAGTGTACAGTGTACTACACCCACTATTACTATTATGTCCACTATACATATGATATGGAGCACTAAATTGAATAAATCGATCCCTATTTTCATTTTTTATTACCTATCTTAATGGTTTTTGTTTCTGACTTTGTTTCTCACATCAAAGTCTATAAAAATTCATGTGTTCAATGCTAATTGCTACGCATCATCGCATTATTGTTATTGTGGTAATGGATCAATTTCAACCAAACTTTTGGTTCCCTTTACGTATTCCACTATTCGTTTCGGTTGTTATTGCCTTGGATAGTTTCATTTCACATCCTTAGAATTTTAGAGCCTAGTTGTTAATTTTATTTCAACATTTGTTCTTGATATTGTTATACATATAATTCACATCCTTATAGAATTTTAGGGCCTAGTTGTTAATTTATATTTCAACATTTGTGCTTCATAATGTTATAATGGTAGTGCAAACGACCTTGACCCAATTAAATGTCTCTTGATATCCGTCTACGAGCTGATGAAAGACCTGTAAAAGATTGTCTCCGCATAGAAACTCCGATGCTTAAGTCAGTAAACAGTGATGAAAAAGATGACGAATTGTATGTAATTGTACGTTTATTAGAGCGTGTAGAGTTTGAAGAGACCGATAAAAATTGTCGTATTTGTGCAAGTCACGAATTAAATTCTATAATTTAAACGATTACATAATGGAACTAAGGTTTAGCGTAGAGTACTTACGACTTAAAATTCGCAAATTCAGACACGTTGTAGATTTTCGTTGATAGAGATCAGTTGATTCTACTTTGCTGAAAATCGAACATCAGGTTTGGAGTCGTCGGGATGGTCATACGGGTGCACATGCGACAATCGCGCGGTCTGTAGCGTGCGGGCGCTCGAGTCGCACTGCGAAGTTAGCACGCGGCGTCTTGCGTGCTGTGGTTGAGACACGACTACGGGCGTGAGGCGTGCAGTTGAGGCTCGATGCGTGCGGTGGTGGTCACGAGGCTCGTCAACCTCAGAGCCTTTTGCTATATCACTCGACACCGCTCTAGTTGTCTTCGTGGGCAATAAGCTTAGAGAGAACGAGAGGGAACTAGGGTCGACTAATGTGTATATGCGTGTGACATGCATGTCTCCCAACCCCAAAAGTATGGTTTATATATCGGCTACATTATGGACCCTAAGAAGACATTAAATTGGGCTCCCCGTTTATGGGCCTAACTTTGGGAGAAGCCCACTCCGCTCATATATGAATACAATCATCCAACTAAAGTAGTATTATTGATTTTCCAATTTTATTCTCAAACTTCAATTTGAGCTCAAATTATGATTACTCGACTTATCTCCTCATGTTTAAGATATAATATCCGTTAATTAATTTAATTATTGACAATCAAATTAATCAAAATCGTGAACCGGAGTTAGTACCACTTAAATCATTATTATTATGTCAGAATTTAATTCCCCTGTAGGGTTTAACATAATAATACTTTATGACAGTAAATATTCAAACGTCACTATCCAATTCACACAGACTATTGACCCAAAGAATGAATCTCACCATTTGGTGAATCATAGTAGTTGCTACTACATACATGTGTCTGTTTATATCTTACGTTGGTATTGCATGCTTTACTACGTACACTCATAGAACAAGTGTTATTATCAACGTACTTACATACTCTGAAAATTTCACTACTTTTGTCTTCACTTCTCCCAAATGCCAAGGAAAGTGCTATCAATACAAGCAACAATATATAAGGTCTTCGTAGATTTTACCACTTTGAATTCAAAGAGTTACTTCACCTCCAATAACAAAAGTTTCTCTGCTAACCCTTTTTTGGTTGAAAATAGATTGTTATATTGAAAATCTTCACTCTTGGAATCACGGAAGATGGATAATAGAGGGACTCATAGAACAACTTAAGATGGATAATAGAGGGACTCATAGAACAACTTGCATTACCAACCATAACATATTCTGTTTAAAAATTCTCACGTTGATCTTCTATCAACAAAGTGTTTTTTCTTGCAACTTCAACTTCATGACTTTTCGAGCGGACTACCTCTATTCCCCATCAAGCTTCAACATTCCACTTCTCGTGAATTTTATTATCCTCTGTAAATGATTCAGTCATCTCTGAACTGTGATTAATCATATCTTCTTCAACAAGTTTCATCATAAGTGCTACGCAAAGAGGATGTTTTTCACAAACTGATATGTACCATTTCACTTTGTCACCACAATCGATCTTCACAGGGGGAATTGGAAATTTGGTTATTCTCGGGTTCAGTGATAACAATTCTGTTTGTGTGAAATGATATTAAAATGTATGATCTTCAAACCGCATTTTCAAGCTCCACGAATGAAATATTGTCGAGAATATAACAAGGATTGACATTCTTTTCATCGTCCTTCACATATCTCCACATCCAAGTGTCATCCTTACTCTTTTTTAAACTCAACATCGTGATATACCTGTATCCACCATCCTTGTGAAATCAATATCTAGAAGGAAAAATGTATTTTACTTCAACAAGACAACTTGTGGAAACACGTGTTATTAAAATGAAAGATAAAATACAATGTCATTATGCTTACTCTTTACTCTTAATATGTAACCAACTAGTACAATATACACATACGATATTAACAATTGAAAACATTGGGGATATGTGATTTTTTAAATTACGTATAAACATTTTGAACTAATCACCAGATAACGAAATATTTTTTGTTATGCAAAGTCATAACTACTTACAATCGTTATGTCAATATAAATTGTAAATATCATATGAAAAACAAGTAAAAAACGTGAATGGTATCAAAATCATAAAAAGATAAAATAGCAAGAAACCCCACTAACAATTATTTTTTTCAGACTTTTTATCTTTCTCTAAAATAAAAAAATTTAATTATTTGTTGTACTTCCACCATCAATTCACTCTTTTTTCAATATAAAAAATAAGGGTATTTTATAAATTTCAATTCAATTATTATTATTTTTTTATTATATTTTATGGACAAAGTTATTCTCAACATTATGTTTAAATAAACAACCATAACAACTCGAGAGCATTAGAGCTGTCAAAACGGGTCGGCCTGTAACCCACCAAAGCACGTCTTTTGGCAGGCCGGGCCGAGCCTGTGAAAAGCCGCCCCCTTAGCTGCTTGGCAGGCCAAACCTGCTTTTTTTTTGGGCTGTAGTGTACAGCTAGCCCAATAAGTTAATGTTAGGTTGGACCGTGACCTAGATTTTTATTTATATATAAAAAAACCTGTTGAGTAGATCGAAAACTTCGAGCTGAACTTCGAGGAGGAGGAGGACGGAGCAGCTGAACATTAATGGGTCTCGAAGACGGAGGCCGACAGAGGAGACTGGAGGCATTTTTTTTAAAGCTGACACAGGAGACCGATGTCAAAGGCGGAGGTTGAAAAACCGTCGGAGACAGGCTGAGTCGCCGTATGTCATGTGTGGAGGCTGACGGGCGAGTCGGCGGAAGGCGAGGGTTAGGGGTTGTGGTGTGTTTTATCATTTTATGATATTTGAAATCTGATTATATTTCTAAATTCCAAGTTTCTAACCATCCAATATTAATATATTATTTATGTATTTTTTTCTTTCTTTTTTTTTTGTTAAAATTGAGCGGGCCGACCCGCCCGCCCCGTCAGCTCGCGTAGGCCCACGGGCTATTTTGACAACTCTGTCACGGAGGATAATAAATCGAAAACAGTCAAAACACAATCAAAAATTCAGTTGTAAATTTGAGATCGAGAAAGGGTTAGGAATAAAACCCGAACGAAACTCTTTTCGGATAGATTGCCCCATCGACGCTATCCTCATTCATCACTCTCCGTGCGAGCTACCTAGCAATGGAGATGACTATCGCCACCGTAAATCAAGTACATTTTGCCCCTTACACGAGGCCATTAGCCACCAATTTCACTGCTGGTTCTGTTTCAGCTCTCGGTTTTGCTATGCCTGCCGGTACTAAATCTCAAGCTCTCACACGCTCCAAACGCGGCCGACGTTTTATCTCGCTTGCCTCAGTTGCGCCGTTCGAGGAGAAGACCGTAACAAAGACTGCTGTCATCAGAATTGGCACCAGGGGAAGGTGATGGTACTTCGTTGCCCCAATTTGTTCTCTTAATTTTGTTAGTTGAGTTGATGAAGGGGATACTTGTGCTCATTTCGAATTCATGTGCGTTTGGATTGTAATGCATCTTTTGATTTCGTGAAGCTGCAATCAGTTTCAATGGGAAGTTTAATTAGTACTATTTTTCGTATTATTCTGTGTTTTCTCCTCATTGTTGAATTTCTACTGGCGATCAGAACACTTCACTCAGATCATTGCATATGTGATTTATCGTATTAGTGTTTTCTTTCCCCCTACACACTGGTATTCCGAGAACCTTCAAATGGGTGTTATTTTTATTTTACAATCTATGTAATCAAAGGGTGTTAAGATTCTTTACTGAATGGCTTCATCTTCCTATTATTTGTAGGACAGCCCACTTGCCCTTGCACAAGCTTATGAAACCCGAGACAAACTGATAAATTCGCATCCCGAGCTAGCTGAGGATGGGGCTATCCAAATTGTGATCATTAAGACGACTGGCGACAAAATATTGAGTCAGCCGCTGGCAGATATTGGTGGGAAAGGCCTATTCACCAAGGAAATAGACGAGGCTCTTATTAATAGTGATATCGATATAGCTGTCCACTCCATGAAAGATGTCCCCACGTATCTCCCTGAAAAGACGATACTGCCCTGCAACCTCCCTCGGGAGGATGTTCGCGATGCTTTCATCTGCCTGAGTGCCAACTCTCTAGCGGAGCTGCCGGCAGGAAGTGTTGTTGGCACGGCTTCACTGAGAAGGAAGTCGCAGCTTCTGAATAGATATCCATCCCTAAAGGTAAAATGTTCTTTTGTTATTAATTTGTTTCTCGTTCATTAGTGAGACAACGTGTAATTATCGTTTAGTAAGTTAGAGACTATTATTTGTTTGCCATGACTTTGTTGTTTAATGTGTTTCTCATTTTACTCAATTCTGATATGGTGCTCTTGAATGCTTTTTTTTTTTTTTTTTTTTTCTCGTTGCCTCTGATTATATACCTTAAAAAGGTTCCATCTCTATAATTGGTTCAGGTCCCATGTGCAGACGTTAACTGATCCCTTCCCCTAATTGTGAGCTAACGAAATTATATCTAGCTGCGGCCTCTTCATTAGCGTATGTTTGTTTATGTTATATTTTTTTTAACGAGTAGGAAATGATCATATCAGAAAAAGTTAATGTTCATAGACTGTAATTTAGTGCTTTAATTATATTCCAACACTGAAAGGTTTGTGCAATCACAAACTCACCGTTAATTAATTTTCTAAAAGTCGTTAGCCGGTTGTTAGGTATCAGGATGGGGCATAGTGCCTGAGCACCTAGGCGGGGTCGTGAAAATTTTAATAAATTTATTTATAGTTATCCTTATACATAATTTACAAAATGTATTATATTGAATATACAAATTGATATAGTCAAATACAAAGATTGGCTATAAAATTATATACTCATAACTGCTATATTATCTTTAACATGATTATTATTATTTTTTAATTTCATTATGTATTAAAACCAAAACCTATTTTATTATATTTCAACATAAATTTAAATAATGTAAAAAAATACAGGTCTAGGTGTGACTAACTTTGTAGCTTGGGTGCAGCCTAATTCCTAGTCTGATTTTTAAACACAACCATTATTAACAAACCAATATTTTAACATTTAAATTCTGAACTATGGTACTTTGTATTGTTTATTGGCATGGAGGGTCTCGATGCAGAATTCTTAAGGATTTTAGAAATATATCTCTAAGGTCTGACAATGGACATGTATATAAATAGAGAGCAGTTTGTAATGTTACTAGAACCTATCAAGTTCCGTTAAATTCATCCAAGAAGCTGTTGCATATTCTCGTATTACAATACAGCCTCGTCATTTCTTTTCAATTCTACTGGGTTGCTTTAATAACTCAGTGATTCATTTATAATGGAAAATGTATGTTTTACCTTTCAAATTTGAAATGCATAATTCTCTAGGTGCTGGAGAATTTTAGAGGTAATGTACAGACAAGGCTAAGAAAGCTGGATGAGGGGGTGGTCCAGGCAACACTACTTGCACTAGCAGGTCTGAAGCGCCTAAACATGACAGAAAATGTGACTTCAATACTATCCATCGACGACATGCTTCCTGCTGTGGCCCAAGGGGCAATCGGGATTGCGTGCAGAAGTGATGATGAAAAAATGGTATATATATATTACATTGAATTGTTTTTCTAATTTTATTATCATTAAATAGAAATTGAATGGGTCCTTTAGGAGTTTTTCGAGGCAACTCTTTCATTTTATGTTACTGTATGACTGAAATTTTTCATGCCTACAGGCTACTTACCTGTCGTCCTTGAACCATGAGGATACAAGATTAGCAATCGCGTGTGAAAGGGCATTTCTGGAGAAATTGGAAGGATCTTGTCGGACACCGATAGCTGGGTATGCCCGTCGAGATGAGGACGGTAATTGTGTTTTTAAAGCACTTGTGGCATCCCCTGATGGCACCCGAGGTATACTGGGTACACTTCATTTATTACATTTTCTGAGATAATTACAAAAACCATCCCTTGTTAAATTGGACAATTGCATAAAAGTTTAGAGAAGTTTCGATATTACGAAAGGAAAATGAAATCGAAAAAAGAAGGCTCGAGGATTTGCTCTTGTACCTGTGTCCCTTTTGCATGAATAACACGTTTTGGAAAATCCTTGAGGAATTTCTCTATTTGTTTTGGTACTATACAAATTGCTTTTTATTGGAGAAAATGAATGATGTTGCTTATTTGATAAGTACGCAATGTGTCGAACCGATTTTGTTTGTTATGCAGTACTTCAAACCTCGCGAAGGGGCACGTATACTTATGAAGATATGATAAGGATGGGTGTGGATGCTGGTGAGGAACTTCTGTCACAAGCAGGTCCTGGTTTCTTTGACCGATGAGCAGTTGAGCTATAAAATAACGGTGATTCTGATATATGATCGTTTGGTCCCTTTTGTGGTTTAGCAGTTAGGCTGTAGTGCCTTCGTGGTTTCTTGTGAGTTCTAGCAGGAAAGACTTTGTTTTTCCTTCTTTTCGGTTTTGCGCATTTGCGAAACACCTTGTAACTTTACGGCTGTGTCTGTCATGTGCTGTAACATTTGCGGCAAGTTATGATCGGCCTGCATGTTGTGTGATTGTATGTGCTGAAGCATTCACTTTTCCACGGATAAAAGATGGTGGATTATTATTACCCATGGAAACAATCAAGTTACGATTTTCACAATGATCAATATCAATATTCTTAATCACGTTACGAAAAATATAGTTTCATTGTAGCGAAAGTGATATTAATGACGTGACCAATGTGTTTCTTTTAGAAGCCGATGAAGATGTCTTTAACATGGAAAACTTTGTTAATAAATAAGAGATGATTGGTGTCTTTGTGTAGCATGACAATATTTCAATGAAGAATTATACATGTGTATGGAAAAAGTAAAATGATAACATAGTAGATCTCAACCCTTATGTCCCAGATGAAGCGCAATGTTACTCGAAGTAGAGGATAGTGAAGATGAGCAATATGTGGGTTATAACTTCGAGTTGTTTGAAGGCTTCATTGATAGTGTTGGTTTGTGTGTGTTTGGTTTCTAGGCCACTTGTTCACGGTGGTTTTCCCAGTGTAATTTTTATCGTGTTCTCGTGTCGCGAAAGAAATGTACGGTATACTTCAGAGTTATGCTGAAGAAATTAAGAACACTAACTTCGGTTCAATAGAATCAAGCGCAAATCGTTTTAGAACAAGCCTATTTTTGGGAGGTTTCACATATGTCGGAGGCACTGAAGAGAGGTTTTTTTGATGGGTTTAAGCCAATGGTTTTCCTAGAGGGTGCTCGTCCGAGAACATCATTTGGTGGAGTAATCTTAACTGTTATAAGCATTTGGTGGCAATAATGGAATAATACCCATTGTATATATGCTATTATTGAAACAAAATATCATGGTTGTGGTTCATATCACTTTTATTGGAGGACTTGGAACTTGAGTATGGTACTTGATGGACTGTGATATTAGATAAGCAAAAGGAACTAATGGATGTTGTGCACTTGATTTTGTGTTATGCACTTGTACAAGAACTTCAAGTTGACTCATAATGTAGAGGAGTTAAATAATCTTTTGTGGAGGACAGTTAGAGAAACTAGGTGATGAAGACGAGACCGTCATTGCGTATCTGAATAAATATGACCGACTTCGGGTCTAGTCTATTTATTTCCTATTATTTCAACACTCTTTTAGCTTTATTTCCTTTAATGATTTTAGTAATTATGGTAGGATAATAAATAACTTGCAGTGTTTAGCAAGAGTAGGATTCTTATTTTTATTTTCCTTTCTTATTTATGCTGTATCGAACAGAAAAGAAGGGAGATTATTGTGAATTGAAATTTCTGTTCGTTCGTTCTTGAGAGAGTATCTCATTTTATTCTCATTCGTACTACGCTCTACATCAGTTGGTATCCAGAGACTAGCGACGATCCACGATGCCGCCAAAGAGAGATAACGTTGACGATCATTTCCAACGACTGGAAGAGC